GATTGTGGCTTATCTTGAGGAGCAAGGATGCTTCGAATGCGCGTTCACCGCGCGGATCATCTTTCCGTCGATCCTGAAGTTCGTCTGTCCTTTCCACAGCAGTTCTGCTGCGTCGTTCAATTGGAGTGTTGCCACGACTGGGATTTCATCCACTGTCGGAATCAAATCTTTCTTGATCGGGGCTCTCCACGAGATGCATTTCTTGCCCTGCTCCTCGTGCACCAAGAGTCCTTGATCCTTCAACTTCTCACACAGTACCTCAACTTGTTTTATGTACTGGGTAGGAACTCCGAGGATAGCCATGGTAATCAGTTTACCACTCTCGGGGGACGCTCCTGAAGCATCGATGCAGGCACTCTTGTCTAGTACCTCTTGTTTGTCTGCGTTCCATGCAGAGACATACCACGACTGTCCTTCTTCCCCCCATTCTTTGATGGCATCCTCCTGGCTCCTGACTTCAGCATGTTTGCAGGTCTGTCGAATGGCTTCGGCTAAGGCGTTCATCGAGACTTCCTTGGACTGCAAGGCTCTGCCTGTCCTGCTCTGAGGGTACTGCCTGACGAAGTGTTCCAATCTTCGGATCAGCTCTCCTAGCGAAGGTGCTGAAGGCGTCGTGTCCTTGTTTAGGAACTGGGAAACTCGGACACGAGCAATCTGTTTCCTTTCCTCTTTGGATAGATACCACATGATCAAACAACCGTTTCTGCACAGAAAAATATCCTGTTCAGCACCCTAGCTCGCAGGGATCCCCTCAAACTGCAGGGGAGGAGAGCATGTCTGTTACTCCAGCGGCCTTCTCTGTTACTCCAGCGGCCTTCCTAAACCCTAAACCCTAAACCCTAAACAGTAGTAGTTGAGTTTATTAGAATGCTAGGAAGGATCTCAAGGTTTGGTATCACCTTGCCTTTTCTAGTCTAACAGGGATCTCGTGACCTGGCAGTTCGGCCCGACTTGGCTGGCCCTTATGGCAGCCGTGCTTCTGCTCTGCTCTCTCCTCCGATGTACTTAGTGGTCTTCTCCAGCCTCAGCCAGTGGAGTTGCCTCCGCCGGCCTTGGCATGGGTCGTCCGTGCTTTCAACTTGTGTTGCTTCTTCGGCCTCGGCACTCGTTGGTGCTCCGGCCGGCCTTCGGCCGGTGAGTGGATGATGGGTGAGGTGGCAGTGGGTTGTGGATGAGTCCCTGGGGCTCACGTCCCTTCCCCCGGGCCTCGGTCACGACCGGGCCCGAAAGCCCAGCCGGTCGCCGCCCGGGCCCTCCTCCCCCCCCCGCCCCCCCCTCCCCCCTCCCCCACCGGCTTACCT